GGATTATGGGCTAAAACTAAAAAATTAGCCAAATTCTAGCCAAAATTTGAGTTTCGGTTAGTGGGCTAGCCCACATATGAGCGTGTGTTTTTTTTAAACCACATGGGATTGATGCGCCATTTACAATCCCACGCCCCCCACTTTTCCAAAACAAATAGCAAGGGGACACACCCATGAGGGCATGTCGGGGAAGATATATGAGCCAAATGGCTCTTCATTTCATCTAACGGTGCAGAGCAGCGAACAATTGGTTCCATCCAACGGTTCAGATTTAAACTTTGATAATTTCTAATTTTATATTTATAAATTTATTGAATCCAAGGACTGATATGATCAAATCTAATGGTATAAAAAAAGATCTAATAGCCCCAATTTAAATCCAAAAGTAATTTGAAAAAAATTATTTAACTCAAATTTCACCCAAATTTAGTGACTTTTCAATATTTATTGGAATCTAAATAATTTTAGATTACAATGTTCATAAAATTAAATTAGGATAGTGTAAATATTTTTTATTTTTAAATTTACTTAAAAAAATTAGCCTAAATTTATTCTTTAATAACCTCAAGCTAAAAACTTTAGGTTAGAAGAGTTGGAGCAGAAAAGTTGTTTCTCAGTTAAAACTTAAATTTTATAGGCTAAAAATTTTAGGTTTTACTCCAAGGGTTAGAGATGGTCTAAAAGACTTACTAATAATGTTGACATGACATTGCTGATGTGGAATATCACTCATTCATTTGAATCCTTTTGAGATCCGCTTTAGATCCGCTTTAAGAGCCAACATGATGCTCACTAGATCCTCATTGTGAAGATCCTGGGAATTCATGAATCGTGTGTGTTTATCGTATATCGTGCAGTCAGTTTTTGTTAGATATTGTTTGTGTTTAATTTTGAATAAAAAAATTTAAAATGAACGGACACGATTCACAGATTCTTAGGATCCTCACAAAGAGGATCCAAATTCCTTTACGAGGATCTTAGGTATCCTTACATCATATTCGTTTATTATACATTGTGCGGCCAGTTTCAATAGTTATTTTTGTGTGTTTAATTTAAATAAAAAAATTCATTATAATTTATGGCCGCACGATGTACCATAAACTGATAGGACGTGAGGAAGATCCCTTTAGATGGGATCCAAATCCCTTTTGGACTAATTTTATTTACATGCTACCAACGCCTATGAAGAATGCTGTTGTGGGAGAGCTTTTCTTTTATGTTGGAAAATGACACGTCCCAACCCAAATATTTAAATGACACCTGGATGGCACATGTTGGCCGACACCCAAGGGTGACGAAAGCCATGAATGTGATTCTGTGAGGATATGAAAGCACTAGTAATTCAAAAACTATGCAAGAAACAACATTCCCAACGAATACGCAACATTAAGAAGTAATAATAACAATACATTTAATTTAAGCATGCACGAAACAAGGTATTCAACGATCATGAATATGTCCAGAGCATACTACTAAACGAAGGTGCAAGAGCAAGGTAAAACAACGAGTAACAATGATCATAAAAAGAATCCATACTCAAGCGGAAAGATGCAAGGTCACTGGTAGGAAAATGCCTCGAAGCTTGGATCGTACTCTTCGTCGCTATGTCCTGAGAGGGCACAAAACAGAAAAGGTGAGTGGACCATAATTTATATTAATACTAATAATAGGAAAACCATTTTATTTTGGAACACATGAACCACCTGTTTTGAAAACTCATATATATAATACTACATATAGGGTTTTTTTTCCGAAAACTCTACATGCCATGTAAACATTCATAAAATTAGTACGTAAAAAAATGTGTTCAGAAATGAATATCGCAACCTAAAGGCAAATCTGTAAAAATACATCATATTGTACTCTTTAAGGGTATCATAATCGCCAGAAGGCAGTACCTGTCCATCACCCGAAGGTGAAGCTGTACGACACTGGGTTACACCAATGAAGAAAACCATGGTCCATCACTTGAAGGTGAAGTTGTATGATTTCGGGTTACACCGGAGAAGAAGATATATAACATCACACACCGATACTAGCCCCTGGCTAGTGAAGCTGGGGGTATATCATCAATATCATTAACTCCTCATTCACCCAAAGGCAATACTTGTCCATCACCCAAAGGTGAAGTTGTACAACACTGGGTTATGCCAGTGAAGAAAACATGGTCCATCACCCGAAGGTGAAGCTGTACGACTCTGGGTTACGCTGGAGAAGAGGTATCTACATACATATCCTCAATTGTGTCCTATGGCCATAGACATCTACATACCAGTGTTGTGTGGATGTGTTGTATGATAACCCGCTAGATAAGCACCGAAAACATACCTAAAAAACTCGTATCAAATCCAGAGTTCACAAGCTCAAAGCCTCAATTCATAAATCCATAAAATAAATCATATTCGAAAGTCATGGAATTTCATATATGAAAATCCAACCATACATAATTTTCATAAAACATAAGTTTGATAAATCATAATATTCTTTAAAAGCAATTTAAATAAATCATAAGCATGGAAATCCGTAAAATATATTATAAAACATGCTTCATTCATGAAATATGCAATGCATACAAACCTAATATTTTATGAAAACATGCAAGTTTAGAAAGGATCCATTCACAAGTATTCCACTACTGGAGAGCCGCTCAAACTAGGGTGGACTGGATCACTTCCAACCGATGCACCTAAACACAAATGAAGACCATTTAATAAAACTCTACTAAAACGGTGGAATTTAGGAAAACGAACAGCGGATTGGGTTTAGCATGTCGAAAAACCCAAAGAGGGACCTCAGGTTCCCTCACGCGCCTCTACAGGGCGGTTGCCCGGAAGACCACGAGCCATTGCACGTGCTGAGTTCAGTCGCCGGAAAGTTTGCAGGAAAAGTTGTTGGCGTCGTTGTCCACGACAGCGGAGCACAATACCTCTGGCAGAGGTGCGTGTGTTCCACACACCAGCCATGACGCGTATCCATGCGCAGGCCACGCACCGGCTCAAGAGGCTGGGTTAGGATTCAAGTCAAATCCAGGTTTGGTTTTGGGTTCTGGGTTAAGGTTTTGGGCCAAGAGGTTTTGGCCAATCTTGATTTGGGCTTGGGTTAGGTTTAGTGGGTTGGATTTTGGGTTAGGTTTCAAGTTGGATTGAGGGTCACGGGTCGGGTTAACCCGATTCTAGGCCGTGGGTTCGGCCAGAATCTGGGTAAACCTTCCTGAACTTTGTTCGAGCTCAAATCAACACCATTTGTAATGATTCAAAAGCCAAAATGAAGCTTAACATGAGAGGAAGAGATTCGTACCATTTTAGAGTTATGTAGTGGTTGGAGTTGGTTGGAGATTGGCTTGCAAACCATCGGGTTTTGTCGGGAAATATGGAAAATGTTTCTCAAGAAATTTTCACGTTTAAACCTTCACCAAAACCATTTTTCATTCAACTACTAAGCATTCTAAACTACTAGGGAAGAAGATCGAAGGGTAGATCGACTTACCTTCATCGAAGACAATGATGACTCATCGGGAAAACTGTTTGCACAATGACGAGAAAGAGAGAGAGTGAGGTCGGAGAGGTGAGGGAGATAAGGAAGGGTCCGAGTGGTGATGATATTGGTGTGGCGGTTGTTGTCTGTGTGTATGTAAGTATATGTGTGTGTGAGTTCACCGGAGAGGAGATGAGATGAGAGTGATGATGAGAAAGAGAAATGAGAGAGTTCTAGAGTGAGAGAGAGATAACGGGAATGAGAGGAAAAAGGGTATCATAAATGGGAAAAAGGGACACCACATGTCAACCATGTAGAGGTACAAAGTGCGCCTATTGTTCAAAAATTGTAGAAGCTTCGTTTTAGCTCAAAACTCAATTTCAATCGAGCCTACGTGTTTGTATCGATGAGAACTATGGAAATAAAATGAATGGAAAATTATAACATGTCCAAGGATGAAAGTCAACGAAAGTCACCCTTCCCGTCAATATGGGTATTTTTGTAATTTTACTAATTATAACGCAAAGTTCAAAGCGGGTAGTTATAAGAAAAATTTCCGATACATTAACCAATTGTATCATGACATTGATCCGATACAAAATTTCTTCGGTCTGCAAGCTTAGATTACTGATTGTCGTTATCCAATTGGGAAGAGGATTCTCTTTGGATTCATTTTGTGAGGATCCTAGGGATCCCCACATCCTAGCCGTTCATCGTATATCGTACGGCCAGTTTTTGTCAAGTACTATTTGTACTTAATTTTAAATAAAAAAATGTCAAATGATTTCTAACCACACGATGCACGATAAATGACTAAGATGTGAAGATTTCTAGGATCCCCACAATTTGGATCTGGATGAGATCCAAATCCATGCAATTGATTCTACAACGGCTGTTGCTGCGCAGTGTGCCACTTGTGGTGAGCTGCTAGCAAATGTTGTACTCCAGCTTCTCAACTTCCATGGCTAATTAATCATCCATTCTCTTTCCTACTACCTCAGAAATCATCCCTTCTTCAGTCTAATTAACATATTAACAATTTCTAATGCAAATGAAAATTAAGAAAAACGGTTTTGTTTCTAAAATTTCTCGGTGAAGAAATCGGGGGAAATGAGCTCTTTCCCAAATCAGTAATGAAAGAAAACTACCATCAAATCGTAATTCTAATTAATCACAACTTACATAAGTTTGGAAAGAATCCTCTCTGGATCATTTCCATCCGAATTTTGAGGACCAAATAATCTCAGCCGTTCACGTAAAATTGTGCGGTTGAGATCACTCTTCCTTTTGAGCTTTGTCACTCTTTCTCTTTCTTCCCAAATAAATTCTTTGTGGTCAATAAATTACCAAATAAATAGAATAAACCTTACTTTGAGATCAATTTTGTATGATACAATTTGTAAGTGCTAATATTTTTTAATCAAATCTTGGATATTCCAATACCTTTCAATGATCAACCGATAAAAGTTCAACTGAAATAGTTATGGGCCGTCATGGACCGAGACCATAATTCGTTCCAAAACCCTTTCAATCAAAGCCCATAGAAAGTGACCCACCACTCTCTGCCTTCAGGGCGGGTGCTATCCTACAACTGAAAAAAGCACACCAAATTCTCAGAGAAGGCTCACTCCCAGAACTGGATCTGGAGTTCCCGGTACGTTTTAGCTGTTCCTATTTCGACTTGTTTGGTTTCCGAGAAAATTCGAGGAAAACGAAATATTTGGAACAAGAATTTGTATGTTGTTTGCATGCTTTGATTCGACTCAAACAAAGTGCTCTTTGTTTGGTGTTTTCCCCTGCATTTCCTCATCAAAGATTGTAACTTTTGAGCAAAAGATTGTAGCTTTAGAAAAGCATGTGATATTTCTAAGTCAATAGAAAATGTGGAATGTGCATAAATTTGAAGATTACTTAATTCATGATTTGTTGGACCTAATTGTGGCTTTAATCAAACTTAGGGTTAGAAAGGGGTTTATCAAGACTAGAGATTTAGCCTATGTACCTTTAAGGTAGCACTTGTACACTCGGTAAAAGTACTTAAGAAAAACTTTGAAGATTGTAGCTTTAGAAAAGCATGTGATGTTTCTAAGTCGATAGAAAATGTGGAATGTGCATAAATTTGAAGATTACTTAATTCATGATTAGTTGGACCTAATTGTGGCTTTAATCAAACTTAGGGTTAGAAAGGGGTTTATCAAGACTAGAGATTTAGCCTATGTACTTTTAAGATAGCAGTTGTACACTCGGTAAAGGATCCCGAAAAGTACTTAAGAAAAACTTTGAAGTTCAAAGATAAATGAAAAAAATCAGCTTAAAGGATTTTATTTACAGTATTCTATAAGGTTGCACCATTTTTAGTTGTTTACAGTATGTGAAAGTGTGGTGACGATTTGATACGTGAAAAGTGAAAGCCGGTTCTTGGTGATTTTTATGTAATGGACCTTATTTCTGTTGTCAGCTGTATATTGTCCATTGATTTAAAATGCTTTGATGGAGTAATTGTTGAGTTTGGCTTAGTTTGTTGCAGTCTTTATACTCTTAAGTTGTGGAATTGCTTATTGATTTACAATTGATTCCTTTTAGTCAACTTTTTCTAACTTTTGAAAACTTCATCTGAAGATTTTTCCCCAATATTTTGTATTCAGTAATAATGTGGAAGCACGGAAACAAATCAAAGGCATGGAATGGGCCTCAAAACCGATGGGTCGCATTTCTCGCAGTATGTTTTACATTAGTTTTTCTAGTTTTCATATTGTCAGCTGGCAACACCGTCCCAAAGACCAGTTCATTACTTGGACTTCCGGAGGAAAAGTGGAATAGCTATGAGTCAGTGGTGCGGTTTTCTCCAACCTTAGAGTTTCCAAATGGAACAGAAATAATATGGCAAATACCAGATTCACCTAAAGCAGTTCTTTTTCTGGCGCATGGTTGCGGAGGTAGAGCTCCTCATTTTTGGGATAAATCTTCTCACTGCCCTGACTGCATTGGTTTGCCAGAGGAAAGGCTAATTGCTCTTAATTCTCTTGCCCGAAAGTTTGCTGTCATTACCATATCAAGTGTGGGGACATGCTGGACTATGGGGAAGGAGCTAATTAGAGTTAAAGATATTATCAGATGGTGGGTTGAGAAAAACAAGCTTGAAAAGCTTCCTCTTGTTGCTATGGGGGCCTCTTCTGGGGGATACTTTGTTTCTGTGCTTGCCACTGTGTTGAAGTTCAATAGTATTGCAATCATGATTGCCGAAGGGGTGTTTGATCGAGTCAAAATAGAAGAGAGCTATCCCCCAACCCTTTTCATGCACATGCCCAAAGATATAGTTAGGCAGCAGAAGATTGATGAGTACATGAAAGTTTTGAGGAATAAAGGTGTTGATGTTGCAGAGCTCAAATGCATGGAGTTCCCCTTGTCGCCACATCTCTTAGCTGATAGAATCCCAGGTCTTGATCAGTCTGTTTCTGCTAAGTTGTTTGAACTCTTCCGGCAAAAGGGTTTTATCGATGAGAATGGATATATGAAGAATGATGGCCGTAGAACACATTGGAAAGAAGCTGTGAGAGAGAGTAAAATTATTTCTCTAGACAAGCATCTGGCCCATTACATCCAAGAGGAGTTAAATCTTGCATTTGCGTACCATGAAATGACCAGCTTGCACTCTGACAGGATGTTTAAATGGTTTGAATCTCATATGAGGTAACCGCTTGCCAAATTCTCCCTTGCTTTGCCTGATTTGATGGATCTGGCCCCAGCTTTGAAGTAATTTCAGTGCATGGCTTAGCACCAGCTTTTTGTTCGGTACTTGTTTGAAGGTTGCACGATGAAGAGTGTACATGATAGATATACAGTATCTGTTAGGTCAACTGTAAACTTGGCTGCCCAATGTAAGTGTAAATTAATCTTCCTATTACATCATTTGGAAGTAAGAAAGAATTATAAAAGTAGTTTTCTGTTCAATAAGATATTTGCTGGGATTCCAACATTTGTTAAGTTTTAGATGTGTAGATCTCTCATTCACTTTGATCCTCTTTTCCTCTTATCTGAACAACGGATAACCAGTGGGAAAATAAGAGCATAAAAACTCGATAGCTGTTCTGTATTACTGTACCCTGGTTGATCTTGAATGTCATTTGATTTACTCACCGTGTAATCACAAGCATGAGATAGAGATGACCACCTATTTCTAGTTGTTCATGGAGAATTAGGGCCTGTTTGGGACTACTTTTGTAGGAAGTACTTTTGCTCGTTCTTTTGCTATATGTGCTTTGTTATAAACACGTTGAAATTTTTATTAAACATCTAAAGAAAATTATTATGTGCATGTTGCAACTAATGCTTGTTGTACCGAGGGAACATGTTTAGCGTTCAAATCATAGTGTCCATCTTTGTATATTGAGGCATTAGAAAGGTCTTCTGAAGCTTACCAGGAGGACCGTAGAAACAGATGCATCTTGGGACAGGCATCCCGTAGGTTGCATAAGGAAATATCAGAAGCACAACACTTTTAAGTAAATAGAAGATGGCATTTAGTTGTCTTGTCCCCTAGAGGATTTAAAAACTTACATACACTTTCTAGGTTGGACAATGGATGATAACTCAACTGCTATCATAAAATATTTGCTACAAGTATCACATTGCAGTTAATTGTATGTACACTTAAAACTTTGCTCATGACATACAAAGTATTCTAACTGTCGAGTTTACTTATTTCTCTATTTTCTCTCTGTGTTGTCTCCCGCCCCCTCCCGCCTCCCCGCTCCTCGCTCCTCTTCCTCCACCCCTTCCCCAATCTTGACGGGAAAACTTTACGTGCACGGTTCCATGGGCCGTTCATCTCTCTCTCTCTCTCTCTCTCTCTCTCTCTCTCATCAAACAAACACTATTAGATTTAAGGTAGTGGGTGAGTTAGAGTACACTGTTATGGGGTAGGAAATTCAAAATATGTGGACAACAATGGTGCCACTTTTGTTTTTTGGCCCTTTAACGTATACCATATATTTCCTTTTTGTTAGTTTGGTAGGTATCCATTTATTATGATATTTAATCCTTCATTGTACTATTAAGTACATTTAATACATTAAGCTTGCTTTGAGTTTGGTGCATTTAACTCAAATTTCAATTATATATGATCTTTGTCACCCATTTGGCTCACACAAAGTTTTGTGTTGTTTGTATTGTGTGCTTTTTTACTTAATTATGTACCATAATATTTGCTTTAACTTGGGCTACACATTTGACCAAGACTAGCTTTTGTAATGTTTTGTTTGTGAATTAATGAATTGTGATTTGGTTCAAAGAGGACTTATATGACACGAGTATACTGCAAATGTGGCATTGCGTAGCAATGAAATAACAATTTCTGTAACCTTTTGCCCACATATTCTTATTTAATTGGCACAGGACGCCATGGTGTACCTATGCCATTCCCCTAGTTCAAATACTTTTTGCTTAGTTTAGCGGATGTGTTCTACTATTAAACATTATATTATGCTGAGAAAAGTTTAAACATGACATTTAAGAGGGGACCAAGCAAAGCTATATCTCATCAATCTTTTTGGCCTTAACAACAGTAATTCCCATTCAATTGCCTTTATCCCAAGTTATTAGTTATCCCATCTTTAACCTCCTCAATCAAAAGTGGAGTTGGTGATATAATTTTTGTTTGACAAAACAGTATTCTAATATAACCAGTTGGTGGAGGGGGATTTGAACTCAGGTGACCTGACTAGCTGGCCTAACTCACGTATGCAACTTAGTGATTGTGCAAGATTCAAAGTTTTGTTATATTTCTTCTCCCTGTTACAGTTTCCTGGCAGTTTTATTTCTGCTATGTTCTTGTGCTTGCGTTTTCATCTTCTACAGACGTCCTTTGGGTATGTTAGCATGCCAGTTAAAATGTCATTAAGATTAGGAAACTGATTATAACTAAGAGATTTCATGCTTTTACTCAACAAAAAATAGTCCGTACTGATAGTTTAAGACGGTGGTCCTTACATATTTTCTTTTCTGCAACATGAAAGACGAATTCGGGGGTATGAGCTGCAGAGGTAGTACTATGGTTTTATTAACATGTAATTTTTACCTGAACTTCATCTACTTTCCATAAATTAAACACTGTCATGTCGTTTTCACATTAATTATCTAAAGTTTGGGATTCGTTTTAGCACTTGTAGTACTGTTGCCTCTATTTATGCTGCATGAGATATGAATATAAATCTTGAATTATATTTAATTAAAAATGAATTAAGATGATATAAAATAAGAATTAAATAAATTTAAACCAAAGTATGCATCATCTTAACATGCTGTAGCACTGCAAATTTGATTAGAAACTAAGAACGTAACGTTCAAGAACAATAACAAGCACACACTCTGAAGCCTCTCTAAGTAGTCTTAGATTTAAGTATTTAAACAACTCATAAAGATTAACTTTGAAATTTAATTAAATGAAAGCAAATGATGGTTGTAATTGAGATCAGGCTCTTGGCTTGAGTTTTCCTTCGTTGGCAAGCTTGAAAACGCGGGCTTGAGTCGCTGCAGCCTTGTTCGATCCCAGTGCTCTGACGAAGCTGTCCCTGACTTGGTTGGTGGTGAAGTGGAACCTGTTATCCACCATGGCATTCAGCAAGGCAGCAGTTCCTTGTCTGTAGAGCTCTCCTAGCCCGTCGGTGCGGGTGTTTGAAAGGGCCTGTGGGAGGCTCATGGTGCCGGATCCGATCCCTGGAAGACTAGACACACCAAAAGAGTGGCCCAAGTTTCCCCACCAGCCCAACAGACCCCATATCAGTGTTGGGTGGCTCCTCCAGTAGCTGCAAAACATGGTAACAATTTTTGTTATTAGAGATGAAAGTGAAGTTATGCATATGTAACATTTTTGTATGTGATCATTTTATTATCTACAATATTTGGTACATTTTCAACATTTAGTTGATATTTAATCGAATTTTCAACCAAATATCAGTAATGTGCCAAATACTGTAGTTTGATATTCGTTACCAGCTAATCACTGCGTATTATGTAAATCAGTTACTTACTTGCATGTGAAGGGTGGAAGGGAGTTGGGGTCAGGAAGAAAAGGTGGAGTGGGAATAGTTGGGGTGTTCGGGTCGGTTGGTGGGGTTCCAATGACTGGGATTGGGGGGCTCACAATGACTGGGGTGGGAGGGGTACCGATTATTGGTGTGGTTGGGGGGCTGCCGCCATAAGTTGGTGGCGGAGAGTGGTAGTAACCACCACCGCTTGGAGTGGATGGAGTAGGGTTGTGGTGTGCTGGTGGGGTGCCACAGTTGGAAGGTGGTGATGGTGTAGGGTTGTGGCTTCCGCCACCTCCATGAGACCTGTGAGAGCCGCCACCGTGTGATGGTGGGCGGGAAGGAGTTCCGTGTGAACCTGCATTAGTAGGAGAGATCATGAGAACACATATTAGTGCATGCTATGACATAATATCAACTGAGAGAGAGAGAGAGAGAGAGAGAGAGAGACCTCCAGGGGTGCTGCCGGAGTGGGGGTCTGGTGGAGAGTAGTAGGTCTTCTGGTCTTGAACAGCGGAGGACATGACAGGGATGATCAAGTTCTGGGAGAGCAACCCAGCAACCAAAGTCCATAGGAACAAAGAGGCTGCATTGCTTCTCACTCTCCCCATTTTTGTCTAGTTACTTTGAAGAGCAAGAAATTAGGGAAAAGCAGAAGGAACGAAGGATGGTGCAGTAACTGTAGGGAGGGGAAAGAGGGTGAATATATAGGGGTAGATAGGGGAGAAGTTAATATTAGCAGGTGAAGGAGTATTGTGGTTAGTTGATGTGTTGCAGGTGCATTTACTCCTATTTACTCTCGTGTTTCTTACACACATGGTATCAACTTCTCAAGTTGCTAGCTTAGGCTTTTGAGATGCATACCATAATCTATCACTCACTCACTAGCTCACTCACTCACCCACTCACTCACTCACTCGTGGGCAATGACATAATATTGGTTATGATCTGGACAAATTATATCAGTTGGACTAGAGAGCTAATTGCTTTTATCTTTCTTTACATGATATTATATTTGTTCCAAGAAGAAGCATGCATCTTGTGTAAACTGTAAAAGATTAAGTACTGCTGAGAAAGAACATAAAGGAGACACAGGTGTTTGGTTGAATTTTGGATGATTTCCATTGATCTGAGTACATGGTATTTATACAGTTTTTATAAAGGCTTTACAACCGTTGACAATTTGCACAAGGAAAGATTCCACAACTTTACGTAAATCAGGTAGCTTAATAAGGTAAATGAATGTGATTACGAAATCATCTGTTGGACAGATAATTTCGTGGCCTGATGAGCATGATTCTCTCCATATCAAACTGGAGAATTTCCATGACATGAGTACACTATCATGAAGCGTCTTGTGTCACTGATACAATGATACTAGTAAGTTTCTTTTCATATGACATTATATGATTAACATAAGAAGTCATAGCAGTAGTATACCTGTGCCAACTTTACATGTGCCGCATGAAAGTTGTTCTCCTTCAGCTGGCTTGTTTATAAATTCAAACGATATTCTTATCTAATATAAATTAGGTTGAGCGAGATTTGAACGTAGGTGCAATAGACGAGCACATTGCTCTAACCTCCTTAGCTATCCCCTAATATGCTGCAGTGTCTTACTTTGCTATTTAAGATTAAAAATAAAACCCTGGATAGAACCTGAACCCAGTTTGAGTTAATCTCCAAAATCAATTCATCAATTTCCAATGTCATTGTCCTTGTATAAAAAACTTGAAGTAGGATAAGCTCATCCTGGTCCATATTCAACGTGAATGGATTCTGTGTTAAATCTAAGATTATGTATTTAATTACAATTTGGTCTATGAAGTTGCTTCAGAACGAGTGGAGCTCTACCCATAAATTCATGTAAATTGCGATGGGCCACTTGAAAGATTTCTAAAGTGCTTTTCACATCCATCTCTACCATTTTCATGTTTGTGAGCTGGAAAATTGGAAACCATTCAATTCATTTGCATGAAGATCTTTGTGATGTTGTTGGATAAGGAAATTAAAACTGGACCAACACCTTGTCGGGTATCACATTTTTGAAGACTCGGTCATGGTTTCATGCAAATTCCCCACTTTGGTCCGCATATAAATTTGCAGCTAGCTAGCTCAACACATTGCGGTGGATGTTGTAGCTAGGAAAATATGTATGTTAAAGGTATGGTACATAATATTTTTTTCAACAAGTATGGTACATGTGTGTAACAGATGGCAATGACTAAAATTGTGAGAGAGAGAGAGAGAGAGAGAGAGAGAGAGAGAGAGAGAGAGAGAGAGAGAGAGAGAGAGAGAGAGAGATGAAGTGGGTTCTGTCTCAAACTTAATGAGATCTACAGAGAAGTAGGTGAGATTGCACAAATGTGTTGGGAGGGGGGAGTAAAGAAGACAGCAAAGTAGGGTATTGTTTGGAATTGGATCCTCTCCTGAGTAGGAGATTAGGATCCTCTTGATCCAATAACACGGACCGTTGAATTTTAATCTAACGGCTACAAACATGGGGTCCATCTAAAAGTTATAATAATTGTAGTCGTTGGATCAAAATTCAACAGCTCATGTTAGTGGGTCAGGAGGATCATGATCTCCTGCTAAGGCGAGGATCCAATTCCATATTGTTTTAGGGTTTTGCAAATGAATTGCTTTTTCAAGTTTAAAATCCACTTTGACCATAAAATGTTTAAGGAAAACTAATGAAAATGGTTTGAAAGTTTTGAGTTTTAACGATAAGAACAAAATAAAAGGTAAAGCGAATAGTACCAGGATTGACTTTTTAGTGTAAAAATGTGGTTTTTCGTTAAAGTGAACAGTACTGTAAGATTTTCGTTAAAATTCCATTAAGTTTAAGCACATGGAAGAACAAGAACGAAAATTCTATTATGCGTTTGATCTTGGTCATTGAGGAGAAATTTTTAGTTGTGACGGGAACACGGATGGTATACCATGTGTTTTTATGTAAGTAATGGAAAATTTTTAATTTTTAAGTTATTAACCTTTTAACACACATATCTCACCATTTATATAGAAACACGTGGTGTACCGTCTCGTGTGACGATCACACTGAAAAATCTCTCGTCATTGAGAGTAATGAGATTTTATCTCAAGTTTTCAACCAAAGTTTGATGGCCGTGTAAGAGGAGAGATTTTTTGTGTGATCGGCACACAAGGTGGTATACCACGTATCACTAAACAAATGGTGAGGTATGTGTGTTAAAAAGTTAATAACTTAAAAAATTAAATTTTCTACCATGTACATAAAAACACATGATATTTCACTCGTGTTTCCGTCGTGATAAAAAAATTTCTAGTGTAAGAGAGCTTGGTCAATGAGGATTCTGAGTTGTCACACATTTAGAGAAGGGTAACAGTGAACTGTGAAGAGCCCCAAGTTAAATTTAGCAGCAGTGATGGATAAATGGCAAGGCCTATGAAGCTAGCTAGTAGCTACTACCTTAGCTAGAAACTGTATGAGCTTTCATGTGAATTGAAATAGTAATAGGGTTTTTCGTGGCAGTTGAAAGCATTAATCCCATAAAACTCTTCTAGCTATTTCAACACCTCTGGTTGGTTTTGCCTCACATTTGGACTCCCAATGGCATTTTTTAGCCATCAAAGCCCAAATTTATGATTGTTTATTTCATGTGGGAAAAAACTACAAAACTTCTGTCTCTCCTTCTAGGAGAGTATATTCTCGTATGATAAGGCTCTACATAATGAAATGGGTTGGCAAACAAGTTTGGGCGAGATAAACTTTACTAACGTTGTCTGAATAAGGCAACTTTCACACTAACAAGATCAAAATACAAGGTAATTTTTGTAAGAAATTTCCTACACGTGACAGGAGTCGGACACTCATACCGAATTTCAAATGAGTCAAAGAACAATGGGTTTGACCAATGCTAACAATATAACAATCAAGATTAATGACATAACCTAATCATTCTAAATTAAAAGACTAATTTGCTACGTTGTAAAATCAGTTTTTCTTGACCCAGACCTTTCCTAGAATTCCCATTACGATCCCATTTGGTTTTCTTGGGAGAGGAGAGGGGGTTTCATTGTCCCTCTAGTATACAAGTGATACTTCTTTGGAGTTTTCTAGCAGCAGAGAGAGAGAGAGAGAGAGAGAGAGAGCCCTTGGCTGCAGCTATTATAAATAAACTCAGGTCCCAATTCGTTTTTGCTACGGAAATATGAATTTACTGCTGCTTCTTCTTTTCTGTGTGCAAAAGTCCAAAACTCTGAATCCCTTCAAATAAATGTGGTTAATAATTTGGGAAATGGATTCAGTGAATCAATCAATCATATCCGTTCATTGTATATTATGTAGTCAGTTTTCGTTAAGTACTATTAATATTATTTTTAAAATATTAAATTTAAAATAATTTCTAACTGCACGATATACGATGAATGAACATGATTGATTGATCCATCGAATCTCCACAAAAAGAATCTGGAGAAAATCCTTTTCCAATAATTTGTACCAGCAACTGCTACAACAACTGCACCCTCTCAAACTACATATTTGGATCTCCTCAAAACATATGTATGTGTATGCATAGCATGGATGGGTTCTTGGTTTCGAATGTACTCAAAACCTTATTTACTAGCTACTGTACTACCACTATGGCTACATGATCAATGAAGGATCGATGCTTATGTTTCAAATTGAATCTGAATCATTGATCATGTCGGATCTTGCAAGAATGCGTAACTCATATTCATAATGTGTCAACATAAGCATTTTTCTAAGAACGTAAATCTAGAAAGAGAACATTTCCTTCGGTTTATATACACTAGCCTTCATGCACGCTCTTATAAGCGTGCAAAAGATATTTTTTGAATTACGGCAAGTTAGGCACGACTTACATATTTTAAATGTATTTATATGCCTGAATTGCTTCAATATTTTTTTTATGACAAAAAGAAAGTCAAATATTTGGACTAATTACAATGAGAATTAAAGAGAAATTAGAACAAAAAGTAGAGAAAAAAAAATTGCTGAAAAAATAATTATTTGACAACTAATTGAATCACATTACTATGTGCGTGCGGAAACCTTTTTTATAACCAACGCTACACACTTCTTAAGATGTTTTGAACATGTTTAAAAATAGAGAAAATAATATTTAATAACAATTGATTGAATCACTTTATTGCTAACTCATTGTGAGACTAAGCTCACCTCCTTCCCCTTAGTGTAAATAATGTGGTTTGTTCAAAAAAAAAAAACAATCATTTGACAACTAATTCAATCACATTATTATATGTGTGCGAAAGACCATTTTTATAACCGGCATTACCTGTCTCTTAAGATGTTTTAAACGTTTTTAAAAATAGAGAAAATAATATTTAATAAACAACTAATTGAACCACATTATTGCTAGCTCATTGTGAGACTAAGCTCACCCCCTTCTCCGTGTAGATAATATTGTTTATTAAAAATAAAAAATCATTTGATAACTAATTGAATCACATTATTATGCATGTGTGAAAGACCTTTTTTATTGAATCACATTATTGTTAGCCTATTGTGAGGTACTAATTATAAAATAAATAAATAAACCATTGTACAAAAAAAATAAGAGTGATGTTAGACCCACCCCATTGTTCTATTTTCACACTGACCGTATTATCCCACCCACCATAAAAAATTAAAAACTTAACATTTTATTTCCCCACCCACTGT